GACGGATAAAGGGTCATTAAGGGAATATAATATATTTTTTACATATGAAATACAGATGTGGGAATTTAAATGTACCCAATGATTTTGCACCAACAAACATAATACATGAAACATTGTGATCATGCACCGAACCCATTTTCATAATCATAATCTTTATTTATCCTGGATTCTTACAGGATGAAGTCAGAGGCAATGATGATGAAGACATAGGAATAATATTTCAGTCACCTTAACCGAAAATGAAAACTAAGCAGCGCAAAACGCTTTAAAATAGTGTTGATTCATAAACTATAAAAGTGTGACCAAACTTCAACATTTTGTACAGAGTGGGAAGGGTTGGGAACATATGCATTTCGAGTTTGACGAAAAGGTAGGGGGATGTTGAACAAGTAATGAGGGATAAAATGCTGCAGGCCAGACAGAAGTTGAAACATTGATAGAAGTACAAATGAAGACACTTTATATTCAGCTGAAGACAGAAGAAAAGTTTTGAGTCTGGACTTCAGAAATAGAAGGGTCTCAGGAGTGCAGACGGCCAGAGGAAGGGAATTCCAGACAACTGGGACAACAGCAGATCCTCCCAATTTTTTTTAAACAGCTCTTGGTTGCTGGAGTGAAGGGAATAATGAATGGGGGCTAAGATGGTCGGGGTGAGGTGGGTGAGGCGAGTTCATGGAGGATTTTGAAGACAATGATATTGAAGTTGACAGGACTGGAGGATTCGGAGGGGGCAGGGGTGGTCATGTTTACAGGTTGAAGGTGAGTAATTCCAGGTCATAGAAAAGTTATAATATTGCAGTTGAGTATACAGTAGATGTAATGAAGGCATGAATAATGATCTCAGTAGCAGAATAGGCAAATACGGTAAAGATGCGTACACGTCGAGGATACGAGAGTGGATGGAAAATTATCGACACATGCGGTACACAGGGGATGAAGTTTTGAAGATTTAAAAAGAATATGATTATGGCGGTGATGTTGCGGTTCATTGGGCAGGGATATTATTCAGCAGAGATGGGAGGTGAACAAAGGGCTTAACACGAGAGGGATGGTCAGACTGAGATTCTGTTGCAGATTTTTAGAGAAATAGCAGGCAAGATATTCACATCATTGATGAGCTAATGGACGTTTGTTGGGTTAGGTGGTTGGAGGAAATCTTAACTCCAAGGGTTCCAAACTAAGGGACCTCAACACCTCATGTCCGCCTTACATTATTACCTGGTGCATGCAAGTTTCAACTAAACCAATTTTCAGTCGATTAATATTGGTAAATGTGGATAGCAGTATGGCGAGACTTTGACGATTGTATATAAAGCGGTACTCTACTTTGCATAAAACCATATGTGTAACGTGTCCATAATGAATTTATATCCTCCAGGCTTAGTACGTAGAGCTCAATCACTCTCCACCAACACCACTAGCTAAGGCGGTCAAACATTAATCAGCTCCAAAGCAGCCAGCCACATCCTTCACGACTGAAGCAAAGCCCTTGTTAACCTTTATGTATTTTTTTCAATGCATGCTATTACTATATATTCTATTACCATGCCATTAAAATGGCAAACTCTTGATATATTGTGACTATATTTTATTCTGGCCAAGATATATATGGAAGTCTACACGTATAAAAACATATTGTCCATAATGCATAGTGCATACTGAATACAGTATTGACAGCTGGACTGTATATAGTTATTGCAACGTACTGTGCAATATAATTTCGTAACATTGAGGACAAAGTGCATTACGAAGTACCGTCTTTATCAATGTCTGAAAATTTTGCATGCCGTTTTTGTTGTTGTTTCTATTGTAGATATACCTTGTTAAGACTTGTCTCCAAGGTCTCTCGCTTCTCGTTTATGCGTGAAAGTACTGCACCTGTGCAGTGGTCGGTAAGAGAGCATGGTTTGTTGTATGTCGTACGCAGTTCACAGCCGCTTGCAGTATTCACTGACGCATCCAATTGGATTGAAGCCAAGTGAAATCACTCGGAGCCTGTTACATCATTCAAAATGCAATGCAGGACCAAACATTTCCAGCCCTGTTGTGAATCTACTGCTGGACCAGACCTCGCCACCGTTACTTAATCATACTTCACCACACCTTACAGCCCTGAGCCAGTGGTGGAAATTATACATTTCTGTGGCGGGGACAGGAATATCCGTATGATCATCAATTTACTGAAAGGAAACCGCACGCGCTGGCGTTATCGAAAGTGACGCTTGAATTTAATGTTGGCAGCCAATTCAGGTTTCGCTAAGCGTTGCGTGTACATTAAAAAAAGAAGACACGTGACTCAATAATAGCATTAGCAATTCGTTGTGTACGTTGCATCTGAGGATATCTGAAAGACGACTGAGAGTTTATATTCTTGGTTCTTTCGGTAAAGTCACGTAGACAGAAAAATAATAAAATAACATTAAAAGAAATTGAAAAAAGCAAAAACCCGCAATAAAAATAGCAACATAAAATATAAAATAAATTGAAAATAATAAAAGCCAAATACCCCACGTTTCGATCGCAACACAAGCGATGAAGACCGCTTGTGTTGCAATCGAAACGTCGTGGGTTTTTTGCGTTTATTCTTTTCAATTTATACTTTTTTAAAATTTCAATTAAATTTTACTATTTTAATCGTGGGTTTTTGGCTTTTAATTTTTTCAATTTATTATTTTAATTGTAAATTTAAATGTTATTAAATCCTTTATATTAAGTTCGCTTGCTTGCTTGCTTAGGACCGGGCAAATCTTTCGGTCGTTTTTTAACCCACTTCCCGTGATCCAATCGAGCTGACATTTTGCACACAGACTCGTTGTGCGTGACAATGCATTTTCGTGAAAAAAGAATTCCAAAATTGTACACTGTTTAGGCAATTTTTAAAAAATATTTAATTACCAATTGTTTAATGCTGCCAGACAATCATCTGACCCATAGGTGGCAGCCATCTCAAGCCAGAGGACGAGAGGACTCTAGCCGCCCCGATGCCACGCATATAAAGGATTTAGAGTGAAAAACTTTGTTTTTACGGGTTAATTTTTTTTAATTATTTTTGTTTTCTATCTACGTGACTTTACCGAAAGACCCAAAGAATATGAATTCCTGCAGTCACGAAAGCTTTAAGTCAAGATTCAAGACTAACAGTTTATTTTAAAGTTCACAGTGATTGATTTTAATCTTTTGTGACTGCAGGAATCCATACTCTTTGGTTCTTTCGGTAAAGTCACCTGACTTTACCGAAATAACCAAAACGTATTCAGTGATTACAAAACTTGTTTTTATTCGGACAGCTAAGACCTCTTCCAGCACAGCTCACATCATTATAGCCTCGTGGCTCGCCTGCCTGGTCTGACATCGCGTCTTATCTGGTCAGATAGGAAAAAATAGTTTAGTTTTAGTTACTTGATACAGCTGTCGTGGCTGTGACGGTTCCACCTGAAGACGGAGGCTTGTGTTGCTTCCGAAACGTCGTGATTTTTATTTTGTTTTATTTTACTTTTATTAATTTAAACATTTTTACCTATGTGACTTTACCGAAAAAACCTAAGAATATGAATCCTTGCAGTCACGAAAGCTTCAAATCTAGAATCATAAGTGATTTGTTTAGTTTTCCTATACTTTGCACTCCTATCATGTTGTTGGGCTCATCGGATTCGTCAATCGTAAAACACATTCCTGCGGAGGGAGCTGGTAGGAACGTCGGGTTGCTCGGTCAATGGCCAGGGTCAACGGCGGCGTGGTGTATTCCGCAAATATGCCCGACTGTGAGGGCGGGCACAAGCCGGCGTGAGTAGGTTAAACGTTGAGTTTTATAAGGGCACCACGGGGTGAGCAGCCCCTCCCCACCCAGCCCCTCCCCACCCCCCCACCCAGCCCCTCCCCACCTAGCCCCACCCCTCCCACCCAGCCCCACCTTCCCCACCCCACCCAGCCCCTCCCCACACACCCCACCCAGTCCCTCCCCACCTAGCCCCACCCCTCCCACCCCCCCACCCAGCCCCTCCCCACCTAGCCCCACCCCTCCCACCCAGCCCCACCTTCCCCACCCCACCCAGCCCCTCCCCACACTCCTCACCCAGTCCCTCCCCACCTAGCCCCACCCCTCCCACCCCCAACCCAGCCCCACCCTCCCCACCCAGCCCCTCCCCACCCCTCCCACCCCCACTCTCCCCACCTAGCCCCTACACTCTCCACCCAGCCCCACCCCTTCATTTTTGATGCACGACGGACGGACACAATAATCCCTGTGGGCTGGTGGTACCAGGTGGTTCCTACCAGTATAAACAAAATGTATCATTATGACGTTTCCACCGCGGCGCCTTCTGATTCGTCGATCCGTGCCCCCCTCCCCCCGTACGCGGCCTGTGATTGGCCAACTTGGGTAACGTTGCCCAGTGGCGACGCAGCGAATACTCATCCGCGTTATGAAATACAACGGTGAGGCGGTTACGGGCCTTCTGGAGAACTCCCCTCTCACAACTTGATAAATGCCTCAACAAGTTCGTCAACAACAACCTACATCATCGCCACCGTGAAAGTAAAATAGAATACTGTTAAAAAGGCGACGTTTCGGGGAGCGATCCCTCTTGAATTGCACGTAATTACGGCGGAGACATTGTTGATAAGAGTTGGAGACTGCACTTTTACACCCCATTTTTTTTTTTTTCCAAATGAAATTGTATATTTTTGTGGGAGGGGGGATTGACGCAAATATTATAATCCGCGCTTCCGTACGTAAATGACCGGAAAACTGATTTTTTTTTTTTCCCACTGAACATTCGTACTCGAAAAAAGAAGTGCGCTCTGAGGTCTGCGATCGCCATCTTGGGAAGGGGGTGGTGGTGCATTGTGGCCAGTGCGGTGACGTCACCAACGGTCGACGCGCACCAACCCCTACCCACCCCACCCACCCAACGGCCGCGACAATTGCCCTTACTCAAGATGGCTGCCGTGGATTCTAGTGTCCGTTGAACGATGACGCGGTAGGGCTGGAGGAGGTGTGAGGGGGGGGGGCTGTGATCGTTAATAAAGTGGAGCTCGGCAGCCTTCGCCGCTCAGTCCGCGCCCGGGAGAGCGCGGAGCAAGGGAGCGGAGCGCACGTTACCTTCGCCTGTCATCGTCGTCAATCAATCATCGTCGCGCCTACCGAGGTCAGTTCCCTCAAAACGATCGCAACAACTTTGCTAATTTCACTTTAAGCAACTGTTAGAGCGCTTTTCGTGGCGGTGGTTCGTTTGGGCTCGTAACGCCGCCGTGTGTCTGATCGTCTCCTGTGTGTGTGCGTCTGTGTTTTAGTCGCAGAGGGGCTGGCGTGACGCGAGATGTAGCTGTGGATGTGTTGTTGACGATTTAAAACGTCTTTTTTTTGAATAACAACGACGACGACGACTTTATAAACAACAACAACACGAATATGGGATAGAGCTTAGATGCTTTAATGTTGAATGGAAACCACAAAAAAACAAAGTAGCTGCTGGTTTGATTAGAATTAAAGTGTTTGGGCTGAATTTACCTTGTAACTGTCACGAACATCAACACTTTGTTTTTTTTACTTTTGCTTGATTTGTATAATGTATACAAGTGACTAGTGCCTCGTCATGCTGCTGTTGGCGATTTGTAGCGTGTTCAGTGTAAGACAGCTGGCTTTGTGCCACTCTGTGGATGTATGGCACGGCTTGTCAACGACGCAGATAACCTCACTTCAGCTTATTTTGTGATGAGTTTTCTTCATAAATTGTTACATTTACCAGGCGTTCTACATGTAATACTTAAACGTTTTGAAAGCATTGATTAACTGCACATTCTAATAATCTGTTTCGATATAAATCTTGACTTAAAGGAATTCATATTCTTGGGTCTTTCGGTAAGTCTCGTCGATATTCTTTGTTATTTTCTTTGAACCCATCTACGTGACCTTTACCGAAAGACCCAATAATACGTTTCGATATACATGTCAATTATCATTGTTGATATCATAATTTGACTAACTTGCGTTATTGTTGGGAGCGTTATTGTAGCTCAATTCTTAAGAGCAGCAACATCATCGCGAGCCAATGGTTTGGGGGAGGGAGCCCTTCAATCCAGCAGTGGGTTGATCATGGCTGATGACAAAGATGGTTAGAGCAGCAGGCGATGAGACCCAAAGTGCAAATTCCTTTGCAGGCTTTACTCAACTCCATCATCCTCGTCATCATACCCAGTCTAAGGGGCAATAAAATTGGCACCATATACTATATGGGACAGCAGTCATCGTTTGTCGTGTGGGTGATAATAATAACGATGATACTATTAAACTCGGGTTTCTATAGCGCAATTTGCAAATGAGCTTTGCATAAAGGTTAGTTTTAAGACGCGATTTCAAAAATCGACTCGTGGACCGAGGAAGGGAATTTCACAATCACAGAGCCTGACTGCAAAAAAGCTCCCTAGTTCATAGAACAAAGTCTGGTCTTAGGAAATAATGAATAGACCAGGATCGGCAGGTGTAAGTTTTCATAGTGGAATATAAAACGTTAGCAGATCGGGGAGATATTTTAGGAGCCAGCTCATTCAAGGCCTTAAACGTGAGAAGAAGAATCTTGAAATCTATTGTACACTACAGGGGGAAACCAGCGCAGGGAGGAAAATAATTGGAGTAATAGATCTGATTTAAAACCCGGGCAGCCGAATTTGTTATATATTGTAGTCTCGATTTAAAGCTTTCGTGGCTGCAGGGATTCATCTTCTTGGTTCTTTCGGTAAAGTCACGTAGAAGGGAAATAATAGCCTGGTGGCGTTTCATTCAGACGCTGTCTTACCGACAGACCTGTTCTTCATCTGAGGACGGCTGCTTGCGTTGTGGCCGAAACGTCGTGATGATTATTTTATTATGTTTTATTTTTATTATTTTATTATTTCCCTTCTACGTGACTTTACCGAAAGAACCAAGAAGATATTGTAGTCTATTTAATTTTTTTTTTGATATTCCAGCAAGCAAGGCATTGTAATAATTCTTCAACCTTTATGAAATAAAGGCACGCACCAGCCTCTCAGAGTCAGGATGGGACGGCATATGTTTAAGTCGAGCAGCTATGTTACTTAAGTGGAAAAACGAGATTTTGGTCATCTCATGCGTGTGGGCCTCAAAGGAATGAGACCAGGACCTGTCACAAGAATGTGCAATTTCCCACGATTGTGAATGACCATTTTTGAAGATTAGCTTCGTGGAGCACGGTAATACATTTTCAACACTTTGTTGTTATTGTACTACCCTTGTAATTGCTGAAAATGGAATAAACCGTGAGCAACGCATCTGCGCCACCCACCTCGCTGACCCAGCGTGGTTACGGTGCGGTCAAATTAACACCACGACGTTGACGACTCGCTTATCCAGAATTTTTACTACGATTAAACTGTAAGGCTGTACAACAATGTTTATTTCTGTGTAAACCGATGTATGTGAATAAGCTCCACTGAGTTTTAATTCCACATCAGCAAGTACAGCCCCATGGAGACCTATTAGACATTAACAAGCGTGGCCTTATGAAGTCAGTCGTATTGAATATTAAAAGCCCAGCCTTTACTGTCACCGTCACGTGTATGTACATTGAATGAAGACAAATAAGGGCAGGTCACCTCGGCGTGCAATTGGCGCATGCACATATTAGAGTGCAATCGGATTCAAATAAACCCAGCGTTTCCAAGAGGCAAGTCAATCGCTGTGGGGTATTCATTGCAGTCGTAAATTTGTGCTTCACAGCGCCACCCACAGCCTGGCTTGTTGCCCTGGCTCCTATGTGTGGCCTTGTGTGTGCGGGAATTTGATGTGTCTGTGGTCAATGTCCGGAGAGTAATTGTTTTCACGTCTGACCACGCGCGTCCCTACCCTCGTGTGTGTTGCTCTCGACATCGCTATGTCAGTGTAGTAATACTCATCAAATTTGGAGGTTACTTTTGTTCTTGGAGTGGGAGCAGCGGCGCACGTATCCACACGCACTACGCTGTGAACTCGTTAAGCACTGAGTTTTATGTCGTTACCATGGCTAACTAACATCAGTGGCGAGTAATATCTGAATTGTTTCTGAGCCCCCCTTCCACTTTACAAACTGGGAAGTGACCACTGTGGTGAAGTATGGTCATACAACCCCACCCACCAGTGGATTGACGTAGAACTGAAAATGTTATTTTCCTGGGATGTCTGCACGTCTGTTCTCCGTTCATTGTTTTCCAACAAAGATGTGTAGAGCAAATGTAACGTACTGTGCGTGACTGTATGCAGCCTTTGGGTGTTCTCCACAGAGCATAGATGTATTGATTAGGTGAAATGTAATGGTTCAAGAATACCTTGCATTTGTGGTTTTGGGTGGGATGAGTTGTCAATACATTTGTTATGCTTACTTAAAGGTCTATTTAAAATATGTTTAGATATTCAGACAAAGGTTTACCCTTTAAATCTTTCACCTAAATTGGAAGATTTTTAAAAAAGATAAAATCGTATTTAAAATGCCTTAGTATAATTACAAATAGACCCGTCCATCCTAATGCTTTTTACGTGCGTTGACCTTTAAAGAATAAATAATTATTTTGGATCATTTATCACAGATGCTCATCTGTGATATGCCTTTCATAACCTTCAGTTGGTTATTGCATTTTTAAAAGAAAATCCTTTCACCAGGTGGCTTCACATAACACTTGTTACATTATGGCATGTTGCATTTTTGAAGTATAATTCTTCAATCAAATATGTCTAATAGTTTCCATACAGAAACAAGGAATGGGGAAGTGCTCATCAATTTTATGACAGGGGCCAGACGTGTTAATTTAATTCCACATTTTTATTGAATTCCTATGACCGGGACCAGATTTTTTTTTAAGGGCCCAAACACTGTCAACTCCCAAGTACAGTCGTCAATGTCAAACTCTCGCCTGTAAAAGTGGGCATTAGTTTTTTTGATACATGTATGAGGACTCGTAAACGTGATATCGTATGTGAGTCAGAGCAAATGTGTTGTGGGCTTAGATTGTCAGCCTCGATGGACATGGCCTTGGGGCTCCTGTCGACAAGGGAAGGGATTTCATCGGCACCGCCGCCCTCTGCAACCAACCCCGATGCAGAAAATAACTTTCTACCACACTGCACCAGTGCATGTTTATTGCCCGCTTGCTTAATTGGTTGATTCCCAGGGGTGAATGAGTGGAAATTGGTCCCTACTTAGTGTTTCTGCCAGTTGTATGTCTTCCCACTCATGGTGTCGGCCTGTGCTTTATGGTTTTTTGTGCCATTTATATTTTTAAGTCGGCATAATGAGGGTGTGTGCCTGTTTGTGTGTGTGTGAGAGGAGTGGTGTAGTAGCTATTGCACTGTGCTACGAACCCGATCTCCTGTGTTCAATTCCCAGCCAAGGCTAATATTAATGAAGAGTGGTAACTACGACTGGGCCTCCCCTAGGTTTGCTTGGCTTTTAATAAGTAGGGTGAGGATACATTGGCACTGGGGAAATGAAAGTGGTCATGAGTGATGCTGACCACAGTGAACGAATGATTATGCCGATTAGATGCACTCATGTCTGATATGGCTATTGTTCACAATTGCATCCAATAAAAAAAAACTCTCCCTTGTGCGCTTTGTCTGACTTGATAGATACTTGCAAACAGCACTTGCTTTAACAGCCTGTGTGGCTCTATGGAGAGTCGTTGTCTTTCCTCGTACATGTCAAAGTGTTGGAATAGTAGGGAGCGCACTGCATTATAAACCTGACAACTTGGGTTCAATTCAAAACCACACTAATTATAATGGCTTTGAACCTGACCAGGGCCTCCCCTAAATTAGCTGCACCTACATCAGAATCTGACATGGTGCTTTTATCATCAGCACTAGAGAGACAGTCATGCGTAGCGCTGGTTTCACCAGACCGTCATATTCTGTGCCGTCCTTTGAGCTGCTTGCTCACGGCACTTATCTCCATATTTAATATGGATGAATGTGCGCTGTTTTGAGAAGACTCATTTCATGTCAGAAGTGCCACTATGTAAAAATTGGCAGTGCAATTTGGTTATTTCGCAAAATGCCTTTGGTGTGAGCTTATGTAAAAAGGATGTTCATAATTGTTAATTAGTATTATTACCGAAATACTATTCAGCGAACATTGTTTTCTACCCAACATGCAATTTC